CTTCTTCGCTAGGCAATTCTAACTCAAACTCTTTAGCTCAAGATGAACTATCCTCGAGTCCCGATCACTTTGGAGACCCGAATCCCCCCATCTTACTCAGCTTTCATGGACTATCCAATGGACGGACCAACCCAAGTCATAGTCCACCCTCTAGCAAACAAAGTTCATCTCCAAGTGAGTACACTCCTGCCACCGAGACACAATCCACTAGATATGATGTTCACGGTAGAGATCCCAATGAGAACCGAAGGCCCGATGAGAGCGCTGAGAGAGGCGTTCTTGAGTATTCTGCCTAGCATTCCTTTGAATGCTTATGACCGTTTCCCTAATTTTCCGATGTTTAATATGTCAATAAAAATTATGGTTTGGAACGTTCAAGGTGTAGGGAACAAATTAGCTGCTATTTGAGAGCTAATTAGGATTAATGATCCAACTATTTTGGCTTTAGTAGAAACTCATACCAGTGGTGAACAAGCTCAAAGAATGTGTGATCGTATTGGTTTCTCCGGAAAAATAAGAGTTGATGCACAAGGTTTTAGTGGTGGGATTTGGCTATTTTGGAAATCGGAGGAGATTACTGTTACTGTCTTGGATAATTATACTCAACATATTACTGTGGAAATTCAAAAAAGGGATGAAGAACCTTGGGTTTTCTCGGCAATTTATGCTAGCCCGGATTCGACTCTTAAGAAGGATTTACGGGAAGCATTAAATAATATCAAGTGTTCCTTTAGTGGTCTGTGGCTTTTGGCAGGAGATTTTAATGACACTTTGACCTTGACGGAGAGAATTGGAAATGGAGGTTCGGAGATGGAAAGAAGGTGCAGAGAATTTTCAGATTGGGTTAATGCTAATAACCTCATTGATCTTGGGTGTTCCAGCCCTGGGCATACTTGGAGTAGAGGCTTGTCGTCTAATACATATAAAGTTGCAAGACTGGATAGGGGTTTTTCTAACACTGATTGGAGAATGCGTTTTGAGGAAGGAGCTGTGAGAAATTTATCTAAAATTACCTCCGATCATTGCCCTATATTGATAAGCACCAACGGTTTCGCTCCTCTTCCGATAGCAGCAAAACCATTTCGATTTCAAGCCGCTTGGTTGAAACATGAAACTTTTGAAGATTTTGTAGTGTCGAAGTGGAATAATAATGAGCCTTTAATTCCTTTCTTAAAAGTGTTTGCCGAGAAACTGACTTGGTGGAATAAGGAGCATTTTCATAATATTTTTCGGAAGAAATCCGAACTTTGGGCTCGGCTTGAAGGTATTCAGAGGGCTATGGCAAATGGGGCCCCTCTTTATTTGCTGAAGCTCGAAGCTGACCTTAAGAACAAAATGATGGAGGTACTTGAGCAAGAGGAATTATTGTGGTTTCAAAAGTCAAGAACGGCGGCTATTGTTGATGGGATCGAAATACTAGATACTTTCATTTATCAACAATTATTCGCAGGCGTAGGAATTGAATTGAAACTCTTCAAAGTGATGCGGGGTGTTGGGTTACAGAGCCGGATCAAGTCAAAGCTCTTGTAGTAAATTACTGGAGGGATCTCTTTACTGAAGATAATCAAGGATCGGCTCCATCTGATTTACTATGCAATTATTTCCCTCGGATTTCTGATGATGAGTGGGAAACTTTGAATAGGCCGTTTGCTTTGTGTGAGATATAAAAGGCTTTAATGAGTATGGACCCGTTTAAGGCCCCGGGCCCTGACAGCTTCCAACCATTATTCTATCAGCACTTTTGGGATGTGGTCAGTCCAAGTGTTGTACAAACAGTAAAAGATGTTCTCGAAGGTCGGTATTTTCCGCAAAGTTTGACAAAGGCGTTTCTTGTTCTTATTCCGAAAGTGGAAGTTCCTCAAGCAGCTAAAGTTTTTCGGCCAATCGGATTGAGCAATATAACCTATAAGATAGTGACAAAAGTGTTGGTGAATCGTTTAAAGCCTCTTCTCCCGAACTTAATTTCACCGACCCAATGTAGCTTTGTTCCAGGAAGGCAAATCACGAATAACATTGTTATTGTCCAAGAAATGCTTCACACCATGAGGAGAAAGCAAGGAAAAGTGGGCTATATGGCGGTGAAGATCGATTTTGAGAAGGATTATGATAGGCTTCGTTGGTCGTTCATTCGAGACTCACTCTTGGAGCTTACATTGCCTCAAAGAATTGTCGATATAGTAATGCTTTGTCTCAACTCGGCCTCTTTGAAGATTTTGTGGAATGGTGAACCCACTGAAGCGTTTTCGCCTTCGAGAGGGATTAGACAGGGAGATCCTCTCTCTCCCTATCTTTATGTCATTTGTATGGAAAGGTTAGCCCACCTTATTGACAAATAATGTAGAGATGGTGCTTGGAAGCCAGTGAAGGCGAGTAGGAATGGTCCTCCTATTTCCAATCTAGCCTTTGCAGATGACCTTATTTTGTTTTGTGAAGCATCTAAAGATCAAGCCGAATTAATGCATAGCTGTCTGGAAAATTTTTGTAGCTCTTCGGGAAGCAAAGTCAGTGTGAGTAAAAGTCGAATTTATTTTTCGAAAAACACTGCTTTGAACACTCGTGAGGAAATTAGTGGTATCTTGCATATGGAGGAAACTGACGATTTCGGGAAATACCTTGGTGTCCCGACTATCAATGGAAAGGTCACTTCTGAGAATTACCAATTTTTGGTTGACCGAGTTAATTCGAAACTAGATGGCTGGAAAGCAAAGACTCTCTCCTTGGCAGGCCGAGCGACTTTAGCACAGGCTTCTTTGTCTACAATTCCTTACTATTCTATGCAATCCACTCGTCCGCCTAAAGGAATTTGCGATAAGGTTGATAGCAAGACGAGAAGCTTCCTGTGGGGTAGCACTGATGAAAAGAAGCGCATTCATTTGGTCAATTGGGACACAGTGACAAGACCAAAAGATCAAGGTGGGTTGGGTTTTCGTTCAATGAGACAAGTTAATGAGGCGTTCCTTTGCAAACTTGGGTGGCGGCTTCTTACGGAACCTAAATCACTTTGGTCAAGAGTAGTGCGAAGCAAATATTGTAAAGGCAGGTGTGACGTTGATATGTTCACTCACAAAGGGGATGTATCGAACGCTTGGAAGGGTATTGTGGAAAATGCAGATGTCTTGAAAAAAAGGTATTAACTCGGCAGTTGGTAATGGAGCTAACACTGATTTTTGGAGGCATAGGTGGGCTACAAATGTGCCCCTGATGGACCTGACTACATCCCCTCCACCGGAAGAAATTCTGAGTTGTAAGGTTCAAGAGTTGTGGGATGAGAATCGAGGCTGGAAACTTGAGCTCTTTGCTGATTATATCCCTCGAGATGTGCTCAAGATAATTCAATCTCACGAATTGAGCATGGATGAAGATGCAATTGATTCTATATTTTGGAATGGTTCTCCCTTTGGCGGATTCTCCATCAAATCAGCTATGCGTATAATTCGATTTCCTCAGCATGATGACAGTGATGAATTGAAGTGGAAGCACATATGGCGCCTTCAAGCACCACAAAAAATACGTTTCTTTCTTTGGCTAGTTGCTCATGGAAAATTAATGACTAATGCCACGCGTTTTGTTCGTCATTTGACCAATGATCCTCGATGTTTCATGTGTGGCTTTGTAGAAGAAAATATTGGTCACATTTTGAGAGACTGTCCTACTGCTAGGCTAGTATGGGCCAAGTTAGGTATCCAACAAAACGCAAAGTGGCAGGGCAGCTCGGTGAGGCAATGGATTGAGGATAACCTCTGTGGAAAAGGAGCAATTGCTAGAGAGGATTGGGACTTGGTATTTGCTACAACCTGTTGGTGGTTGTGGAGGTGGCGAAACGAGAGAACATTCAATAGAGAAGCTTCAATCCTCTGGATCAGGCAACATTTGTCATGGCTAGAGTTGGAGATATAAGGAGGGCGTACGAGAGCAATACTCTGGAAAATGCTAGAGGAAAGAGGAAATACCAAGAGGTGCTGGTGCGTTGGGATTTTCCTGGAGAAGGTTGGGTGTGTCTTAACACCGATGGTGCCTCGAAAGGGAATCCAGGCCCAGCTGGTGCAGGTGGTGTAATAAGGGGTCATAGGGGTGAGCTTTATGAGATGTTTGCTATTAATTGTGGTATTTGTACATGTACCAAAGCTGAACTGTTGGGAGTCATGCGAGGGCTAGCTATTGCTTGGAATGGGGGGCATCGCAAGGTTCAAGTTGCAGTCGATTCGGAGACTATAATCCGAATGTTGGTGGATCTTATACCACCCAACTCTCCGTTTATTCATTTACTTCGACAGTGCAAATCTTTATCTCAAGGTGTGGATGTGAGGTTAGTATTAGACATTGCTATCGTGAAGCTAATCAAGTCGCGGACAAATTGGCTAACATTGGTGTAACGTCTAACCAGAAGCTTATTCTCTATGAGGTGGTTCCGGAGGACCTTCGTGCCGTTTTATTGGAGGATTTGGGGGGCCTCCGAGGCCTAGGAAGGTGCCTTCTAGGGGTACTTAGTCCGAGTTAGTGTCGTTGTTTTTGTTTATTTTCTTTGTCTTGTTTTTTGTTTTGTTCTCTGTTTTCCTTTTCTGTTGCTTTTCTTTTTCTAGTTTGTATTAGCTTTCTCTTTAATTTTGGGGCTTGCCCCATGTTCGCACCAAAAAAAATGATAATATTTTAATTGAAGGAAAAATGTAAACTAATAATCCCACCTTTAGTCGGTCTTCCATAAACAATCCCACCTTTTGAAATTCCAGAAACAATCCCACCTTAAACCCCCATCTTCCATTAACAATCCTTTACCGGTTGTATTGTTTTGATAACCGGTTTTCATAGGTTATAAGACACGTGTCAGGTTTTAATAGGTTTAACTTTTTTTTTTTAAAAAAAAACAAACTAATAAAAAAATAATAATAAAAAAAAAACAAAACCAAAACCCCCAGCCTAGCCACCGTATCCCTTCCCCATCCTGCCACCGCATCCCCTCCCCATCCCCGCCCTTGCTTTTCCCGGAAACCCAACCTACCCCTTCAAGGCGCCGGAACCCAACCCCTGAAGCCCGAAATCAGCACTTGCAGCCGCCTAGCTTCCCCAAAAACCCAACCCAATCCGCAGCCCAGAACCCCTCTTTCTCCTTCTCCTTCTCTTTCTCTCTTCTCTTTGGTATGTTTCACTCTCCTCTGAATTCATCAATTCATTCCCTTTCAATTCGATTTTTCAGATGATTGAAATAATAATTTGCATTTAATTTCAAACCAAAAATTGAATTGGAGACGATGGGTGACGTTTTTCAGGGCCGGAGTAGACTATTTCGTGGCTGGGGTGGAGTATTTCGTGGCTGAGGATTGAGTTTCAGCCTTTTAGGGGGCTGGTGTGGGGATTTTGTGGCAGTGGGTGGAGTTTTCGTGGTGGGGGTTGGGTTTCGGGGGTGGTTATTGGATTTTCCGGCGTGGTTGGTGAGTTTCGTGGTGGCTTGGTTGTGGGGGTGGCGGTAAGGAGTGAGTGTTGGGTGGTGGTTGGACTAGTGGCTTGAGAAGGAGTATAGTTAAAATAAATAAATAAATAAAATAACCTGCTTAACAAGTTGTAGGTCAATGGGATCGTTAGTGGAAAATGAGGCTTAAAAGTGGAATTGTTTCTGGAATTTCAAAAGGTGGGATTGTTTATGGAAGACCGACTAAAGGTGGGATTATTAGATTACAATTTTCCTTAATTGAATCCATTCCCACACACTCTAAGATCTACAAGTATATCCAAAACAAAAAGTTATCCAATTTTCTAAAAAAAAATAAAAAAAATGTCTCTCCTAGTCTCCTATAAATATCAACAGTGTGCATAAATAGTATTGTAATGAACATGTAAAGGCAAAGTCCAAAACCGCCTTCTTTATTTCTCTGCAAATCCCAGCAACCGCCTTCTTTCTCTTCTCTTTACTCACCGTTTCTTCATATCTTCCAATTTTTCTCAATAATTATCCATTTTTCCTTAATAAAGAAAAGTCCCTTTTCCCCTTCATTCTCACTTCACTCCACTGAATGAGTGACAAAAAAGAAAAAACAAAATCACAAAATTTTGCAATTTAAGAAACTAACAAAGACTGTGTTATTCGTTTCATATCGTTTTGACTCGTTAACTCGTTGAACTAAACTCTTTCTTCTCACTTCAAAATTTCTTTTTGATCTTGAAGTCCTCAACTTCTTTACCAATTTCAATTTTTGTACTTTAAAAAAATTACGAATTTGATTATAAATGGTTTAAAATTTCTGTAATTGATGTTCACTTTGGATGAAAATATAATTTCATAAACATAATTAAATTGTTACAAATTATCACTTTAACGTGATTTCGTGTCTCTGTTTTTGTGGTAAATTTTTCTAGTTAAATACAAAGATTTGGTATTAAAGTAGTCAAAAAGTGAGTAAATTTTCAGTGTAACTATACGTTTTATTGAAGTACAAAGTTGAAAAGAAGTAAGAAATGGATCAGAAGCAGATACTAATGTCAGCGGTAGGGGTAGGAATCGGAGTGGGTGTCGGGCTCGGGCTGGCTTCCGGGCAGACGATGAGCAAATGGACGGGTAGTTCATCGGGTTCGAATACGATTACTGCTGAGAAAATGGAGCAAGAGTTGCTACGAATGATCATTGATGGAAGAGATGCTAAGGTCACTTTTGATGAATTTCCTTACTATCTTAGGTATTTTCTCTTATTTTTTTTATTTTTTTTTATCCGTTAAGGGTTATCTGCAATTTTTTGGTATTATTTGTGAGATAAAAAATTCCGACGGAGGTAGTATAATGTTTAGATTTATTGATGATATGATCTCATGGGAAGTGTTATTAGATTTTTTTTTTTTTTTTTTTTTTTTTGTCTTAAAGATCTAAAAGATGCGATCATTCATTTATCATTTATCGTACATGGGTCCTCAGTCTACATTATCGTTACATGTTGTCCATAGGATCGAGGTCATGTGTTATAAGTTTGTATGTTGCATTGCGTACCTTATTATTTATAAAGTTGATTAACTAATAGGGAGAAAGTGAAAATGGTACAACTATGTTAAGGGGTTTTGAGTAAAATTGTGCCAAATACTTAATTAAGTACAAGAATACTTTATTGTGATCGCGAAGTCAATTGAGCCGCGGATTAGTTAACTAGACGAGGGATGACTAATGAGGGATTGTGCAAGTTCGGATTCTGTATGTTAATTCAAAGAGAGTAACACGAGAATCTGAGTTTAGTTGTCTGTGCTCTAGTATTATAATGATTTTCACTTTGTTTATGTTTATGTAGTACGAGTACTTGGTATATTTTATTTATGTCTTGTGGTTAAGTTGTAACCAGAAAGTAGTGACTAAGGATTTTGGATAAGGTGACTTCAATTTATTAATGTTAAGTGTTGTAAGAGATATGCTTGGACCTAAAACTCTGACTATTGAGCTTCAAGCACAGCTGTCTGTTTCTCTGAATTTTACCTGTTGAGTTCTGGCAGCTGTGTGCCTGTGGTATGTCCCGTTGTCGAATTATCATTGATTAGTGGTCACATTTGTGCAATTTTGAATTATCTATTAATGGTCTTATTAGGATCATACAGGAGGAACTGGAGCCTGGAGGTTAATCCTTTTAACAACTCAAGATTATGCTTTTTAGTGTGCTTGTTCCTTCCTTCCAATATACATACAGAATACATTCCTGCTGTTTCTTTTTGATGTTCTTATTTAGTATCTTGCAACTACTTAATCTCCATTATAATTTTCTATAAGAAGAAGCATAATCTTGTAGGGTCTTGTTTGAATCGTTTCTTTTTTTGATAGATTGTTTGATTCGTTTCAATAAGTGCATTAAAAATATCAATTTTCTTAAAAATTTTCTTACTTATACATTAGAGATGATAATGATTAAAACATAATGATATTGAAAATTTGAACATTAAATACTATATAGTAATTTTCAATATATTTTACTCCATGGATAATTTTTAAATAGCCCAATATATTATTATGAAGGGTATCATAATATATCATACAAAATCTTTAGCTATAGGAGTTGGATCAATGTGGCTATGAGTGCTATCTTTGCACAAGATATATGCATCACTTTTTTGAAGTTTATAATTTAATTATGCTTTTTACGCTTAAAAAAGGATTTGAAGAATGAACAATATATCAAGAATGTCAAGCAGAAGGAAATTCTGGGGATTCTCTTTTTCATATTTTTATACCTTAGCCTTATTATGTGGATTAACATCAATATAAATACTACGTATGTTGCTTCAGAGAATGCCTAGCATATACCTTTAAAATGGCAGATTATATGTCCTTACTCTCACTGGTTGTTAGTAAGACCATCTATTACTTGAATGAAAGTTTAGGTGGTCAGGTAATGAAAGGAAATTTCGCAAGTCACTTGGAGTTTCATCATCATAAATGTAAATTCTCATACCTTGCTCAGAGATGAATCTTGTTTGCATTAGTAATCTTGGATGCCTTAATGTGATTTGTCAGTGAGCAGACAAGGGTTCTGTTAACAAGTGCTGCTCATTTCTATTTGAGGAAAGGTGATTTCTCAAAGTATACTCGAAACTTGTCTCCTGCAAGCCGAGCTATTTTACTCTCAGGACCTGCTGGTTAGTCTTCTAGCAGTTATGCTTCCTTATGTTGGCTTATCTACGTTTTATAATATATTTGACTAAAGAGGCTATGCTTTATTTAGAACTTTACCAGCAAATGCTTGCAAAGGCTCTAGCACATTTCTTTGAGGCAAAGTTGTTGCTGTTGGATGTCAATGACTTTGTACTGAAGGTTGGTAACTCCTATCCCCCTTCTTCCTATGGTATCGATACAGCTGCAGATGAAATGAAAGTGAATTTTTTTAAACAGTATATCAGGAGAGCTTTGCAGGAAAAATTAGCATGTTTCTCTGATTGAATTTCACTTGCTTCTTTTTGCAGATTCAAAGCAAATATGGTATCAATAATGATTCCGTAAGTTATTTAAGCTTTTTCTTTATTCTGTTAAGATAATGAATTGCTTGTTTCTCAAACTTTCTTTGTGTGCATGAAGAAAATTAATTGCTCCATCTTATTCATTCTTTCCATTTTTTTTCAGTCCTTCAAAAGATCCACCTCTGAGACTACTTTGGAGCGTCTTTCAGGTTTATTTGGGTCATTTTCTGTGCTGCCAGCAAAGGATGAACCCAAAGGTAATCTGTTCAAAATCTTTGGAATATCGGTAATTTTTTTGTCATTCTAATCATTATAAAGAAGAGTCACAGGAGTATAACAAATTCACCTACAAGAGTACATAGATATTATTCAAATATATTAGAACTTATTAACCATCTGGTTTGCTCTGTTCATTTATGTTAAAATTTTCGTGCTCATTTCTCTGGTCTTCAGCTGGTACCTTGCGTCGACAGGGAAGCGGATTTGACAATCTAAGGTAATTACATTCTCGCCATGAGCTAGACCCAATCAAATATCTACAAAAGTTTATGCATCACTAACACCATCTGTTTCTGTGTACAGGAATATAGAAGGCTCTTCTAGTTTTCCTAAGCTTCGTAGGAATGCTTCTGCCTCTGCCAGTATACATGATTTGCTTTTGCAAGCTGCTCCTATGAATACAGGTCTTTGCTTTGCCTTAATCAATTATTTTTAACAGATTTACAGTCCTATCAGTGTGAGTGGTTTGGTAGTGATTTCCAAGGGCATGAATAGTTATATTTAGTTTCCAATTTTAGTTTTTCATTGATGTTGTGAGGTACCGAGGTAGTGCTTAGCTGCATGGTTAGTATCTTTAGACTATAGTCTTGTTGACCTACTATTTTCAGTTTTGCTTTTTGGTTAGTCTGCTGTTTTGGAACTAGAGGGTTCACATCTTAACATCGGTCTTGGGAGCTTTACAAAGTCAATATCTTATTAGAAGAGCGATTATTTACATCTGATGCAGTTCTCTGCTGATGATGAAATATTAAGAGTTCCCTGACATACTTATAATTTACTCATTTATATATCTACCAATTCTCTCAAGGACCGCAGTATGTTTATCTATGTTTGTCGGCTACTTTGTCCTTTGGTTTTGGGGGAGGGTGTGGTTATATGGGAGAGGGAGCTTCCAGAATGGTTTAGGAAGTAATTGAAAGTGGTTATGCTGATTTACAAATCTCACCGTTAAGTCCATTATACTTGGTTTATTCTTCTGCTGATTATACTAAGGGTCATGCAAAATTCCTGACAGTGCATATGATGCAGTATGTCTTTCTTTTCCTGTGTTTATGGTTACTTATGTTCTTCAGCTCCCCTCAAGCGAACAAGTAGCTGGTCCATCGATGAAAAGCTACTCATTCAATCACTTTACAAGGTGATGTGCTTATTTATCCTTAGTGGCTAGGTTGCCAACCATTCATCTCTCTATGTCTGGATTTTTGTGATTTGTGAAGTTCGGCATGGGCATAACCTTTTTTTGTTTTCCGTTTTCTGTGTACAGGTTATGGTCTCTGTATCTAGAACTTATCCAATCATTTTGTACCTAAGAGATGTTGACATGCTCTTGTTCAGATCTCAGAAGCTATACAGACTGTTCCAAAAAATGTTACAGAAACTTTCAGGACCAGTACTCATACTAGGTTCTCGAATAACACATAGTGACAGCAATGATGATGACATTGATGATATGATCATTGATGTTTTTCCGTATAATATTGATATTAAGCCACCTGAAGATGAAACACGTCTAGTTAGCTGGAAGTCTCAATTGGAGGTGGACCTGAAGATGATTCAGATTCAGGACAACAGAAACCACATTATTGAAGTGCTAGCTGCAAACGATGTCGAATGTGATGATCTTGGCTCTATTAATGTGGAAGATACCTTTGTTCTCAGCAGATATATTGAAGAAATCGTTGTATCAGCAATTTCTTATCATTTGATGAATAATAAGCATGAATATAGGAATGGGAAACTCCTGATTTCATTCCAGAGGTCTGCTGTTATATATTTTTCAACATATTTGTCCTACCTTCACATCATTCTTTCCTGATTAAATTTATTTCCATTGCTTTTAGTTGGGATATATTTTGGTCATGTGAGCCTTTTAATAATGTGTTTTTGGGCTGTTGAACAGTTTATCCCATGGACTGAGCGTGTTTCAGGAACGTAAATCAGATGCCAAGGATACATTGAAGCCAGAACCACGTGCCAGACCTTCAAAGGTAAGTTTGTTGTTAGAGTAGAGTTACTAGAGTAATATGTAAAAGTCGAGGAGCTATCTAGTCCATCACTCCATCATGCTGCGCCATCTAATCCATTACTTCATCATGCTGCAATTGTAGGGACCACGTGGAGATGTTAAGCCAGAAACTAAAGCTGAAGGTGCAACTCCGAAAAACAAAGGTGGAGAAGAAGCATCTGTGCCAATTTCAAAGGATACAACAGATAATGAGGCTGCAAGTCCAAAGGTTCCTGTAAGTACAGTTGCTCAAATGTGGTCATCTTAGTAATGTTTTTCATGTGGTTGATATTAAGTTCTAAGAAAGAGCAAATTAGTGCTTCAAGTTTGTGCTGATATTATTTTTGTTCCCAACCAAATTGCCAACTTTGATTTTCAATCATTAATTCTTTCTCCTTCAAACATAAGAGGACGTTTTAATGTGATCCATTTCATTGTGTCCAACAGGAAGTACCTCCTGACAATGAGTTTGAGAGGAGGATAAGGCCAGAGGTCATTCCTGCAAGCGAGATTTCTGTGTCATTTGCTGATATTGGCGCCCTGGATGAAACCAAGGAGTCACTGCAGGAACTAGTAATGCTTCCACTTCGTAGACCAGACTTGTTCAAGGGAGGACTTCTGAAACCTTGTCGAGGAATTTTGCTTTTTGGACCTCCTGGTACTGGCAAGACGATGCTGGCCAAGGCCATAGCCAAAGAGGCTGGAGCAAGCTTTATTAATGTATCTATGTCAACCATCACATCTAAATGGTTTGGTGAAGACGAAAAGAATGTTAGGGGACTGTTCAGCCTTGCATCTAAAGTTTCCCCAACAATTATATTTGTAGATGAAGTTGACAGTATGCTTGGACAAAGGACCAGGGTTGGTGAGCATGAAGCTATGAGAAAGATTAAAAACGAGTTTATGACACATTGGGACGGGCTTACAACCAAACAAGGTGAGAGAATCCTTGTTCTTGCTGCAACCAATAGACCATTTGACCTTGATGAAGCAATTATACGACGTTTTGAACGGAGGTAATTAGCAGTATTATTTAGTTTTATTGTATTTCCATAATGTTTTGTGAAGGTGAGATTAAGCTCTGGACGGACTTGATTAGTTATAGGTTGTAGCTCACTATTTTGTGCTTCTTTCATCCTCAATTATAGGATAATGGTGGGGCTTCCATCAGCGGAGAATAGAGAGAATATATTGAGAACTCTTTTATCGAAAGAGAAAGTTGAAGAAGGACTAGATTTGAAGGAGATTGGAATAATGACAGAAGGATATAGCGGTAGTGATCTTAAGGTAAGTTCTGCATTTGTGGTCCTTATCTGAGGAAGATAATTTATTTTGGGGTGTGAGGTGGGGTTTTGATTTTGAAAGTAAGATCTTTTTAAGAATTTTCTGTATAATGGCCATGGACCATGACAAACATTTCTATGTGCAGAATCTCTGTACGACTGCTGCATATCGACCTGTTAGAGAGTTGATACAGCAAGAGAGGTTGAAGGATATGGTAAGTTTCATAATCCTCTGGAAGGTATTGTTTCCGCTGTTGTTTTTTTAATCTACTTCTGGCCATTACAAGAATACACTTTTTTTTTTTATTCAGGAGAAAAAACAAGAATCAGAAGAAGGCCAAAATTCAGATGCACAAAAGAAGGAAGGTGTCAAGGACAGAGTAATTTCTCTGAGGCCTTTAAATCTGGAGGATTTTAGGCAAGCTAAGAATCAGGTAGGTCTCCTGCTTGAACACCAAATGCATGATTTAACATGCTAAACAATTTGCATATCATATCGTCTTTTTTGATTGCTTGCTTTACCTTTGTTGGTTATTATAGAAGCTCCTGTTTCATCTGTCAACTCTACTTGTTTGCAGGTTGCTGCTAGCTTTTCATCCGGGGGAGCAATAATGAACGAACTGAAGCAGTGGAATGAGCTTTACGGGGAAGGAGGCACGAGGAAAAAGGAGCAGCTTACATACTTTTTGTGAATGTGAACTTGGAAAAGTCGGCTCATTACCTAGTTCCTTCTATGGCATAGATGATTACCTGAACGAGGAAATTGTTTTGCGACTTGTGTTCTTGAATGCAGCACTGCTGAGGAACACTGAAAAGACCATGATCTATCTTAGGTCAGACATAGTTTAGCTTTGCTTACCCTCAACTCCTCTTGTTTGATGCCTAAGTATGGGTGCAATCTTCCTAGACCAGGCCACTCTTCATGTTGTGCTGTTTTGTGTAAAGAGGTGTTTGAATTGTGACTGGCCAATGCTGTGTAATAATTGTAAGAAATTAACTGTGATTTTGTAATCTACTTTAATTTCTGGTATTCATGACATTTACTTTCAATAAACTTTTTAAATATAAAATTGTAGGCATAAATGGTTAAGGATATGCATTGGATAAGGTATAAAATGCAAATGAGAAAATTTCGTAATATAGAGGGAGTATGTACAAAGTTGGATGAAATTGTATTCCACGCCTTTAAACAATCTTAAAATGAAAATTAAGTAACTAATCGAGGAGATCTTGGTTTAGTGGTTAAAACTGAGGGTCTGTGTACGATAAGTCACAGGTTCAAATTTCCCAGTTTTCATTTGTAATTTTTATTGTCCTTGGACTCATTTGCAACAATTTTCATTTGTAATTTGTATTGTCCTTGTGGTTCATTCGCATAAAAAAAAAATATAAGTAACTAAATTGATGAGATCTTGGCTTAGTAGTTAAGACTGAGGGTTTGTGTACGATAAGTCACAGGTTCAAATTTCTCAATTTCCATTTGTAATTTGTATTGTCCGTGTGACTTATTTGCAACAATTTTTATTTGTAATTTGTATTGTCCTTGTGGCTCATTCGCATAAAAAATAAATTAAAAAAAAAAAGTAATTACACAAATTGTATTGTCAATGCTTGTAGTACTTATAATCTTAACGTAAAAGATCTTTGATTTTTTTTTTTTTTTTTTTTTTTTTTTTTTTTTTTTTTTTTGTCAACGGATAATAATATTACTAGTAAGGATAGATTTTTAGTGGAGTTGTCTTTGAGTTGGATAAAATTTCCTAAGTTCAATAGAAATTGTGTAATTTAATCAGCACCTCTAGTCCTCCTCTACCTGTTACAATGTGATATATTTCTATTTAACAACTTTAGGGCTAACCTATAAATATGTGAAAAAGTTTTTTTTATTGAAACCACAACTTTGAGAAAAAAAAAAAAAGAAAAGATTTCATTGTTAGGGCCATAGTCCTCTCCCTGTACAGGCTTAGTGAGATGGCGTTAAGCATGAAGCAGATGGTTATCCTAATTGCCTTCTTTGGCGTCGTGTCGTTAATTTGCGGTGTTATTGCTGAAAATAAGAAGGTATTTTGATTACTTTTTCTATGCCTATGTAAGTTTGTGCAGAATATATATTTTTTTTTTGTGTTTCACCCGGTTCACCCTTTGGGCTAATTCGGATTTGGAGATCAGTTTTGGATGGTTAGGTTTCAGTCCACTCCCGATTATTGTTGTGCTGAATATAATACATTGTGTATTAATTTCGAGTCTCCTGTGTTTGAGATTTGAGAGTTGTTTTGAACTTTTGATGCATTAATAAGGAACTTTTGATGCATTACTAGTGTTAACTTATCCGGTTGAAATTGTACATGGTTTATCTAATTCAAAAGTTCAAATTTAATTGTGTAGATTCTTAGATACACTGTAGTGTACAAAACTTTTAGTCGCGCTCCCTTGCTAGTCATGTGCTTTACGCTAACACTCGTGTCATCACCTGATTCGCGAACCACTTCAGTTGTAATAGGTCACATAGCACATCCACTTGAGTTCATATAATTTACGCGCATTCGTGCCCTAATGCACGCTCATAGAACGAGATGTAGTGATCTTGAAAGTAGAAAGTCGTGGATCATAATATGAAGCAGATCAAAATATTATCACTTTGCTGCTACTTATATCTCCCTTCAAAAAATAACTTATACAAGGAAAATGTTCAACATGAATTTTAAAAAATATATATATATATACTACCCAGATTAATATGAACAACTGCTGTCATCTAATGGTATATCATGTCTTTCATGGTTGATTCAAACGATATCTTTCGCAGCATTGACATACGCATCTAATAAGTCGCACTTATGATATGCAGCCTTCAACCGGAACACCTATAGCAGGGAAGGGTGTTGTAATCTGCAAGTATCCCTCTGATCCAACCGTAGCTCTGGGATATACATCTTTGGCTACTCTGGTAATAACTACTGTTATCGGGTTCAAGTCGATTTTTCACCCCTATGACAACAAGGCAGTTCCCACTCATGCCATCTTTGGTACCAAAGTCATGACTGTTTTCTTCAGCATTACTTGGTAGGTTGTTGTTCCTCTCCTAAATTATTTATGATATTTCAAGTTTTGTGTAATTTCAATGTTGTTCTACTTGTACTTAATCTGATAGTGTCTTCTGCATGGATTTTCCCATTAGTTACTGTTGCACATTTTATTCTAAGCAAATCCACGGTTTGCATATATATATTCTAAGCACATACATGTATTTTTCCATTAGTTACTGTTGCAAATTTTATTGGTGATGTTGATTTTGAAAAATACAAAAGAGATTTATCATATTTTTGGAACATAAACAGGCTGATAGCGGGTTTAGCTGCTACACTGCTCTTATGGCCAACAATCAGTCAACAGCTTCATTTGAGTCACACAGTGCATCACACCCCAAACTACGCTTGCCCCACTGCTAAAACAGGGCTCATGGGAGGTGGCGCCTTTATGTCTCTCAATTCAGCCCTCTTCTGGTTGATGTGCCTAATGTTGGCTAAGAATGCGCGAGAAGATTACTTTGAGGAATCATCCCGAGTTTAGCTTCTTACAAGTGGTGATTGAATTAGCAGGAGTTTCAAATAACAGAGCTTGAATGAGTGACCAGAACTTCTCTGGTTGAACCGTTGAACAACTCTCTCGTTCATAGTAGTTTATATTTCTTTTTTAGTGATGGGAAATTTGTTGAATACCCTAATTTATACGTTGTATCTCTTAACAAATTCTTACAGTTCCATAGATCGTTTCTTTTTTCTTTGGTGATGAGAAAAGAAAGAGAGCACTTATTATGTGCTCCAGTTACCACCCTCTTAAGAACCTTAGTTCATATTCGTTCTCGATTATGACTAAAGGAACTCTACTTTCTTTGGCATGTAAATACAAGAAGAAAGGAAAGTCTGAAATTAGAATTAAAAAGGATCTATAACTTCAAAAATCATACTACTAAGATTTTATTTATACACGTACAAGTTTTATCATTTTGAAGATTTTGTTTTGACGTATTGTAAAAAAAATCAAGGAATAAACAACAAAGAACACAAAAATTTACATGGTTCAATAAATAAAGTGGAGAGTCCCAATCACCGAGAGGGAGATTTATTGATCTCGAGCAAATTTCAGAATCACGCTAGATTAATGACCTAGGGAGTTCACATACTTATTCACAAAACAGAAACAGATTGGGCATCGAAGATTGACCCAAACAGAAAATCATAAGCTGATTTAAGGGAAATTCTAACAATATGCATGTCACAAATCCCACATAATAAAGCTCTCTTTCTTCCATTGTTAATGATTCAGCCAAGGCCATACGCTATATGAACATACCGTGCACAACCAGACCATAACTTACGCATTACAACTACCATTAGACAAAAAAAAAAAAAAAAAAAAAAAACAAAAAAAAAACACACACACACATCATCGTCGTTTTTCATACTAACTTAACAACATGGTTAATAGTACTGTGTCCATCACATAATTTGACATTCCCCGCCCTTATAAATGAACTCTTCCCCTCCATAACTCCATAGAGTCCGTAGTAGTGTTATTTTTTATGCAGAATGAGCTCAGAACAGCTAATTAAGAAAATGATAGAACCTGCCGAGTGCATAAATGCATACTACATGTCAAGATGCCTAGTGCTGAGTGCATACTACAGCTCAAGACTCAAGACATGAGAAATAATCATATTACTGCCATCTATGGAGCATAAGTAGTTCAGCAAGCATGATATTCCGTCAGTTTAATCATGTTTCAAGATTACAGCATATTGAACACCACCGAAAAGAATCTTATTGGAGGAGTAACACAATATATGCCATATAGAAAATTGTCGATTAGAACATCCATTTATAAACCCAATTTGATCTACCATCTACAAAAATAGAGATTAAATATGCAAGAAAAACACAAGGATCAATCAAACGACATTCACGAAGAATGGCATCACTTTATAATCTCAGAAAGTGCAGACGTATTAATAAAAACTGCTGTCTTCCCCATGTTTAGTATGAAATATTCATAATGATTATCACTGTATATCGAAAGTGCTTACAAATTCCAGCAAGCAATTCCTACCCGAGTAATATAATTCACTGGACAAATAAACCTACCATGAATACGGCCACCAAAACCTCATACTTAACATTCTACCACATTAAGCTGTCTTCTTGTCTTTCAACGGACCCCTTGGTATTTTGCTCAATACTTTTGCATCAAAGACTGCATATTGCTTCTTTAACTCGATCATGGCCTTCTCACCAAAAGCATCTACTTGATCTTCATATTTCTCATAAAGCACAGGCACGGTGTGAAGGAGAACAAAGCCTATTTAACCCATGTGAAAACCAAGCAAATGAAAATAAGAAAATCATTCAGTATATGTAACCATATATGAAGAATCATTGAGCTTGAGAATAAATGGACATTACATATGTAAAACAGAGTCAAGAAGTTGCAGCAACTGCCCAAAATTGAGAAAACCCACAATCCAGCAATCACCTGATAAAGAGGTATCAAAGTAAGTTCCACACTAACAAAAGTTTTACATAAGCAGTTGTAACGGTTACAGGGGAACATACAGCGAGAAACTTTTTCAGGTCCCTTCCTGAAGCAATCTCACGAAGAGAAGCAAGACCTCGATTGATCTCATATCTCAAGGCAGAGGCAAATTCTAGGATAGGGCCTTCTGGGATTCGTGCTTCGGGGATTTGTGGGGGAGCCCTGTAGAGAGATCAGGTGCGTTAACAAAAAAAAAGTAGGAAGAGCTTCAGTTACAGGACATAGCAATGAGAATAACCACAGCTTACTTGCTCATGAAAGTTGAAGCGTTTGACCACAGAAACAGCACGGTAATTGTAAGCATCAAGAGATGGCAAACCAGAGTGAGCAAATGATACTCAAATACTTCAAATAGAGCCCAAACAGCTGTGACAGTCCCAAGAACTATCGCCGAAGTTTTCTTGTCCCTCCAGAGAAAAACATCCGCAGCTGCAGCCATGTGAATCAGGATCACAAATGCAAGCAACAAAGTGAAAAGTAGAATATCCCCACATACTATGAATACTACTATAATAAACAAGAAACTTGTAGATTACTCTTACACCAATTCTTAAACACCTCCCAAACTTTATAGCCAACTAAAAAGGGTATAAGGGAATCTATATTACGATTTAAGAAGATTCATATTCTAATTGAAATAACTTCTAAGCTTTTGCATAATTTAATTCCCTTAATTGAATCTTTTTACACCATCGTTTCGCCTCGCGTTAAAGTAATCAAGTACTTTAAACTTTCACACCATCATATAATCCCTTTTTGACTACAGTCATAAACATCAACATTGAAGACGCAGCTTAAAGAAGCTATAACTTGACATGAAAAAGGCCATTAATACATTTCAACAAACCCAACTCAACTTTTACTTTTCCCACCTAAATAAAGTATCAGTATTCAATACTAACAAAACATCGAAAAGTCGTAACATTATCATGGCTAATTACACCAATTCCTCCTTAAACTTAAAATTTCAACAGCTATGAATTATGATCACAAAATTTACGATTTCACATGTAACATATATAAGATCAAAATTCAGAAACCATATCATAAATTAGATCTATGTCACAATCATCCTTCGAATTATAGTCACACCAACATTAATCAATCAAATATGATCAAATCCCAAACTTCAGTCTAAACAATCACACAAACAAATCTTTCAATATAAACCACAATTACAATCAAAATCACACCCGATCTCAATTATTCAACAACAATCAAGCTAAAAACAACCATCAATTCACACAAATTGTACGAAAAACAAGCAAATTCAGAAGATACAAACAACATTTCAATAAAAAAAATGCGAAAATCAAAAATTGAAGAAACATACGTTTACCACCACCAAGGACCTTATGAACAGGCTTATCTCTACCAAAAAGACGATAAATCTTAGATTTCAAAGAAGAAGGAGCGGATTTATCGTCATCGGAATCGGAAGATGAAGAATCATGGTGGTGAATTTTCTCGGCGATCTTCTCCATGAGAGATTCAGACTTAGGTTTTTCTTCGTGTTCCGCCATAACTGATAAACCCTAGAAAACTTCGGATTGTTTCTCTCTATTTCTCTGTAAAATTCACCTGACAATATTTTCTCTCTCTGAATTGTGTGATGATAACTCGGTTTTTATTTTAGGGAAATTCCCATTAATACACTCCAAGTATTGACTTTTCTTAGTGGTATCACATTTTTTTTTTGACTTCCTGCTGATACACTTGAGGTTTTGACTTTATAATTGACGTGATTAAGTCTGTTAATAAGACGTTAATAACTTATTTATTCACATTTTAGGCTTAGTAATAGATGAAATGACTAATATACCCCCATTTTTTTAATCATTTCCCTCCAAAATTTCCCCCTTAATGTTGTTGTTATTTCCCTCCAACTTCCCAACCCTTATTCTCTCCCTATAAAACCCCACTTTCCCTCTTCTATTCTCCATAAATTTTCCCCTCCATTTTTTCGAGCTCACCTCTTCTTCTTTTCTTTTTATTTATGTTGGTCCCTGCTGTTCTGACATGGCTGGTTCTGCAGGCAGTGGTTCCTCTTCTGACAGCAGATTTGGGAGGTCCATGTGGGTGAGACGAATTCAATGCAATTGTAATCCACCAAGACTTGCTGATATTAGGGTGTCTGACTCAATTTCGAATCCAGGGAGGTCATATTACAAGTGCAGGCATTGTGGTTTGTTCATGTGGGTTCCTGAAGATCAAATTATAGCCAATCATGAAGAATCATCCAATTTGAGAGTATTAAGAGAGGAATTTATTGATTTCACAGACAAAGCATATGAGTTTGCAAGCTATGTTTATATGGTTGTTAGAATTGCTCTTGTGATGTATCTTATTTTACTGTTTGTAACCCTGAAATGAGCATTGTGTATTTAGTTGCCATGTACTTCAGAGACTAAGTGTACTAGGAACAAATTATAAAAGTAAGGTTGTATTTTCTTGGTTTTGAATGAAAATGGAAAAATAATTTGCATTTTGATTGAGTAAGGTTGTATTTTCTTGGTTTTGAATGAATCAATCATTGAGATCAACTAAAATTAACAAGCTGAACAAAATGGCATCAGTTGCCAACATTCATTAAAGTCTGGAAAATCATTCAAAATGTGGCCACCATTCTTAATATAGACAAAATGGCATAATTCTTCAACATTACCATGTAAGTTCACCAAAAAAAATTCAAAACATATAGAGTTGACTACAAATTTTGACTTTCTATCCAAATCACCAAAAAAAGCATTTGCTACTACTTTGCAAAACAGAACACTTGCTAGCTTTGAGAGTTTCCTTGAGACATCTGGATTGGTTGGCTAGGCAACTGTGAGGCTGTCAGCACTGTTTGTTGCTCAGCTGAGGGTCTGCCCTTCTTTCCCTTAGTTTTTTTGGTTGAAGCTGCTGCTTGAGATGCTGAAGGTTGAGTTGCTGCAGACTGAGATCCAAGTGCTTCAGATTGCTTTGCTGCCTTAGCTGCCTTTGCTGTATTACTTTAGTCTCCGACCCTAGGGTTCTTGATGACAACAGGCTCATTTGTCTTCAACTCTTTTCCTGTTAAGCCTCCCTTGCAGGTTGTCTTATTATGCCCAAAGCAACCACATTTGCTGCATTTCACTGTTTTTGACCTTTTTCCAGGTTGCTCCTCACCTTCTTCCCTCTTTCTGTTCCTTCTTGGTCTTCCAATTCCCCTCTTCATCTTAGGAGGCATGATGATTCTACCTGACTCATCTGCAGGCCATTGCTCTGTGTCAGGAATTGGGTTGATACAGACACTGTAAGCTTGCTTATAAGTCTTCACAGAGTACCAGGAACTGACAAAGTCATGTGGGTCCAACTTGGCATCAATGCAAGCCCTAATGGCATGCCTACAAGGCACACATGTCAGTTGCCATGCCCCACAAGAACAAACTTTCTTGTTTAAGCTGAGAGGAAATTGTGATCTTCCCTCATGAATTTCATATTCACCTGGGCTGGACTTGAATACTCTGCATTTTGAGCTACCTTTTCCTATTTATTTCACTAGCTTCACAATTTTTGGAGTTATGTCTTCATCATTCCAAGACTTTGCATTCTCCATTCTTGTTGCTATTCTAACCATACATACCCTCCTTATTCCTGCACAACATTATCTTACTTAGAAAAACAAACCAAATCAGAATAAAATGACAATGTTAATACAGTAAGAGGTGGGTTAATACCTTCTAGCAAAGTCAAAATAGGCCTACACCTATTCACCCCTAGAGTAGAGTTGAAGCTCTCTACAAAATTGGATGTATTGGAGTCATTGCAAACATTTGGGTCAAATGCATGCTTACTCCACTTAGACTTCTCTCCCAATTCTGCAAACCAAGTCATGACATCATCTCCTCCTGCTTTCTGCAACTTCTCCATAGCTTTCCTGAATGTGAAAGCTGAAGAAGCATTGCATGCTCTCCAGAATAGAACATACATCATAGGGCCTGGAAATAGCTTCTTGTAGTTTCTACTTAGATGCCTACAGCAGAACCTCCTGTCAGCTTTTGGCCATACTTGTTCTAGTGCAAGTTCAACTCCCTGAAACAATGATTACAGTATGAGCATTTGTATGTTTGCATATAAAAAAAAAAGAGAATGAAAATTTGAAAAAAGCAACAAACACTTGCCTTTTGCCTATCAGAAATAATAGTCCAATGCTCTCTTGATGAATCTTTTACAATGTTCAGCAAATGCCAAAAGAAGTAGGTCCATGACTGCTTGTCTTCTTGGCCAACTACAGCATATGCTATGGGGAAGATCTCATTATTGCCATCTATTCCCACAGCAGAGAGCAATACCCCCCCCCCATAGTTACCTTTGAGGTGGGTTCCATCTACACCAATTAAAGGTCTAACACCCCTTAAAAGACCTTTCCATTGTCCAGTGAATGATATAAAAAGGCTTGAAAATTGAAGTTGTTTAGGGATAGACTCTGTTTCATTCCATGCACAAAAAGCCTTGGACTCTGGGTTTGTTTCTATGCACATCTTAGCATACATTGGCAATAGTCTATATGACTCATCATGCCCTCCAAACAACTGCTCAATCACATAGCTCTTTAACCTGTACAAGGTTGACTGCCTCATGTAGATGCCATATCTCTGAAAAAGGAGTTCATTGAGTGCTTTCCCAGGAATGTCTGGGTTAGCCCTGATGTCTTCCATGACTTTCTGAGATGCCCATTTCACATTGCAGATGGGGTTGTAAGTCTCTAAGCCCCTGCAAGTGTGTATATTGGGCCATATTTTCTTGATTGCCCATGTTCTGCCATCTGCCAGTCTGCTGGCATGCAATCTCCAATCACAGCATTCAGATTGGCAAACTGCACTGTATCTCTTGTTGTCAGCATACTCTACATTGATGGCAAACCTTTCTTGAACAGCAAAATCTTTCAGAGTGTCCTTGAAGTGAGCCTTGTAAGTAAAAATCATCCAAGGTCTGAGTGTTATTTTACCAAAGTCAGCATCCTCATACATCTCACCATTCTTGTACAATCTCTGAAAATAATCCTCATCATCTTCATCATCAAAAAAATCAAACCATTTTGATGGTTTCCAACTGTCCTTCACTTTTGGAATCCTAGTTACTTGTGCTAGCTCATCTGCTGGAATAGAACCCTTTGGTGTAACATCTCCATCAGAATCCTCATCTTATTCACCAAGATTGAAACCAGGATTGGGTTGTGTCTCTACAGACTCAGAGCTGTCTACAACAAAAGTCATCTTTCTTCTAACTCTAGAATCACTTGTGCCTTGCACCTCACCCACATTGTCCCCAGCACTACTGCCCTTACTCATATTTACATTAACCCTAGAAACTGATCCTTGCAGCTGACTCACTCTGTCACCAACACCTAGCATCCTTTTCTCAGTCACAGTTGATCCTTTCACTAACCCCTTTCTTATAGCTGTTGATCTAGGAACCTTTTTTCTAAACATAGTTGTTTGTGAAGCATTTGTCAATAGGTCAACATCAAAAGCATTAGGTGTGTCAGTTACTGCCAAAGGTGAAAATCTAGGACTCCTTCTAAGCGGTAAACCCTTGAAGACTGTGTTTGGAGACTTGGGAGATGGTGGTTGCATTGGGGATGTTTTAGTTGTAGCTTTCTTCTTACCCTTTGCTGCACCCTTAACCTTCCTAGAATTCTCTATCTTTTCCATACTTTTCTCAAACTCTTTTCTACCCTTGGTATACTCAGTAGCAGATTGATTTGTTTCATCTTGGGGTGACTCATAACCCCCAGTATACCTAGGTGGAGAGGACTCATTATTAAGGTTGATATCCTCAATAGAAAGGGGAGGTTCAGTTTGGGAAGGGTCAAAAAGGGGAGGTTCAGTTTCAGGAACAAGTTGATCTGTTTCAATTTGAGGGGGGTTGTTCATTTGAGGGTGCAGTATCAGAAGGTTGATCAATATGGGGTGGTTCAGATTGGGAAGGTGCATCAAAAGGTTGTGCAGATTTGGACTTGTTCCTTAGCCTATTGGTCATTCTATTCAAGGCACTTGGTTTCTTAGCAAAACCTACCCAAATGTGATAAATCTCACACTCACCTAGGGTGTGAATCATCTTAAAAAGATCAGCATCATCTAGTAAAGGGTGATTCTTTTCATTGAAACCATAACCAAATGATGGGTTGACTATAGGAAACTCAGAGTCTACTGCAGCAGTGTCCTCAAAATCCATAACCAAATCAAGAAAATTACATCTATCTAAGTCAACAGCAAGATCAACATGCTTATCAAAGTAATAAAACCTTAACACAACATCACCCATTCTGCAAAAGAAGGTAAACAGTATACACACTTACAACATGCATATAAATTCAAAATCATATCCAACAATCCACAACATTCAAATAAATTCCAAATCAGGTATCCAATTACCTATAACATGCACATAAATCCCAATTCAGGTATCCAACAATCAATCAAATAAGCAAATACATTCCAATTCAAGTAAATCAATGAAACAGGATCATGCCATTTCATCCAAATTAAATACATACTCTACATAAATAATTGAACACACATAATCGCGCACCTAATATACCTGAAAAAAACCCTAAAATCGCACAAATATACAACATTTACATCATGAATTTAACTTAAAATCGCAAAGAAAAAAGAACATCACAACTGCACCAAATCAAGCAAAAATGAACAGTAGTAGTGCTAAAGTACCTGAATTGTGCTAGATTATCCTCTAATGATTTTGTAGACCAAAAAGATCGGCGCAATTCCCTTGCAAAACCCTTGGACTTCGTTGTGAATGATGCAGAGAGCAGAGGAGAGAGAGATGAAATTTGAACAAGGAGTTTGTTTTGTGTCAAATCGACATAAATGGAAGGGGAAGGGGTTTAATTATGGGTGATGGAGGGAAGGATTAAAAGGGGGCATTTTAGTCTTTTCACCTAATCTCAGCTTTTAACCTAGAATTACTAAGTTATTAACGTCTTATTAACATACTTAATCACGTCAATTATAAAGTCAAAACCTCAAGTGTATCAGCAGGAAGTCAAAAAAAAATGTGGTACCGCTGAGAAAAGTCAATACCTGGAGTGTATCAATGGGAATTTCCCTTTATTTTATTTCGTAAAAAATGGCCCCTTTCTCTGTCTTTATTAATGTCAGCCGTTTCTAGAGAAGTTAACCCAAACCCAAACATGTTACCAATGGGAACTAAATTAAGGTAATTGGGTCGGGTTTGGTTGAGTCGTGTCAAGTCAGGTTCAATTTAAGTTATTATTTAATAATGTTCAAACTGTTTATATATGTTTAAATTAAAGTTGAATTACTTTTAAATCGAATTGGTATTTTTTTTTTCTTTTGACAGGGTCAAATGACGTATATGGAAGTATTATCTTATACAGTGCCCCTGAAGTATTGACTTTTCCAAGCTGTGCCCATCCATTTTCAAAATTCTACGCTGTACCCCTAAGGAGCCTTTAGTGTTTACGATGTAACCCTACCCTAATCCCTCCGTTAACATAAGTTAACTTTTCGTTAACTTCAAAATAAATAAATTAAAAAAAAAATCCCAAAAACACCCAAACACCTTTCTCTCCTCCATCACAAGTACCCACCACCGCACCTCCAGCCGCACCGCTGCACTTTCGATCCACCTGCACCGCCGCACCACAGTGGCTCGCCCCTCTCTCCTCGACCCACCACCGCATCATCCTCCTCCCTCCTTCTCTCTCACTTCTCTTTTACTGCCAGATTTTTGACCATTTTTTGAAATTTTTGGGCGTAATTCGAACAATCTCGACCACTTAAACCATATACGTGCAGATTTTCATTGGAAAAATCAATTAAAACAAATTTATGTATTTAATCTCAATCTAATTGAACCAAAATTGATGATTTAACAATTAAAATCAAATAGGGGGAAAAATTAGGGTCTGGTGTCGTTTAATTGTTGTGGTGGTGCGATTGTGGTTGCGCTAATGTAGGGGTTGCTGGTGTTTTGTGATTTTAGGGGCTGAGGTGAGAGGAGAAGCTGGTCGGTGGCGTTTGCTGGTTCGTGCGGCTGGTCTGTTTTGGTGTGGAGTGCAGGGAGCAGTTGGGAGTAGGAATGTGGGTTTTTCGGTGCAGGAGGGGATCGGGGTGGCTGGTATTCTAGCGGGAAGTAGGCGGTCGAGGAGAGAGGGGCAAGCCACTGTGGTGCAGCTGGAGGTGTAGTGGTGGTTGGTGGGTAGTTGTGACTTGTGAGGGAGGAGAGAGAGGTGGTTGGTTTTTTTTTTTTTGTTTTTTTTTTTAATTATTTATTTTAAAGGTAACGGAAAGTTAACTTAAGTTAACGGAGGGATAAGGGTAGGGTTACATCGTAGACACTAAAAGTACCTTAGGGGTACAACGTAGAATTTTGAAAATGGGTGGGCACAGCTTGGAAAAGTCAATATCTCATGGGCACTGTATAGAAAAACTCTTGTTTCTTTTTGCTTGTTTCGTCATCTTTAGGAGGTGTGTGACGCGTGTCTAGACTCTGGGAATTGTTTCATTGCCTTCTAACTGGACTTAGAAAATAGTCTTTAGCTTAGGCCTTGTTTGGTTGACAAACAAATTCATGGGAATTTTGATTTCCTAGGAAATGGATTTATGCATGCTTGTTTGGTTGACAATAATGTAGGAACTAGAACTTCCTAGGAAGTTTCACTTCCCACAAAATGGAGGAATTAACTTACCTAGTCCCCCCTAGGTAAGTGGAACTTCCCATGGGAAGTGGAAATTCCCACATCCAACCAAACAATTTTTGGAAATTCTTAGGAATTACAATTTCTTAGGAATTGAGATTTCATGGGAATTTCTACTTCCCACATCCAACCAAACAAGGCCTTAATATGGTGTATTTGGAAATAATTAAGAATTTATTCGATTTCTTTAGTTTATACGTATTTACTTATAATGATAGTGGTCGTTGTCTACTTGTCTTATTATATAAAGTAAGGGTCTCCAAATTTAGTAAAAGTTATTATCATCTTGTGGAAATTCTTGTCTAATGAAGGTTTTGGTTCATTAGAAATTAGAATCAACTAATTTTAGTCAATGTCAACCCCAAATAAAGCAATAAATAAGGGGACAATCAAATAAAACCTTATAAAGCAAGAAATCAAAATATGTTGAAGATAACAGTTAATTGATTACGTACACACAGCGAAAATCAACCAAAGTTATAGACACATGAGTGTTTTGATTGTGCACTCGTGTAGTGTACTCATAAACTAAAGGAAAATTTGTCAAAAATAACACGACCTTTGGTCGGTCTTCCCTAAATAACACCACCTTTTGATTATTCCACAATAACACCACATTTCCTATACTTCTTTCCAAAATGGTACAAAATTATGGGTGACCTGATTTTGCAGGTAAACTTGATGACGTGGCCTGTATTTTGGGGTAAAGTCAAGGATTGACTTAAATTCCCCCTCCCCTTAGCCTACGTGGAATATAACAATTAGGTTATTTCCACTTTCTCTATAAAATACCCCCCTTCCCTGTTCTTTTCCCCTGTTCTTCTCTTCTCTGTTTTCTCCATCTCCTCTTTTCTTCCCTTTTTTTTTCTGTTCGTTCTTTCTTTCTCCATCTTCTTTTTCCATTCTTTGAACTGAGCATGGCTGCTAGGAGGTCTAATTCATACGCATCAGGTTCATCCTCAAGCAACAAAAGGGTTGGGAATGCGCAAGTTCGCTGCAATTGTGGGAAAGAAGCTCTAATTAAGACAGTGAGAAAAGGCCCTAATTTTGGGATGAAGTTCTATGGTTGTCCTATGTGGCCAGTAAGTTAAATCTAACTTTGTGTTGAGTTGTGGAAAATGGATTGATTGTGTATTTATTTTGTTTATTGATTTGTAATTTGTGTAGGACACTCAGTGCGATTTTTTCAAATGGGTAAATGAGCACACTGATGTTGAAGAGTACCAGTTCAAGTTGTTGGAAAAGGATACTATCATATGTGAATTAGAGGTTGAACAAAATTTCAGAGATGAAAAAATAAAGAAATTGTAGTTGAAGAAAGCTAAGTTGGAGGAATAATTGAAAGAAATGAAGAAAGAAGTCATTAAAATGAGGATTGAGTTAGAGAAATTGAATAGGACTGAAAAAACTTTGTATTTGGCAATGTTTGTTTCTTTGATGTTGTTTGTTGTTTTTTTTCTTAATTAGTTTGACTCATAACTAGGGGCTGTAATGGATGTGTTATGGATAAGCTATGTTGAATAATGTATGGAATTTGGTTAGTTTTTGTTTACAATTTGCACACTTGTTTTGACAGCACTTGTATAATCCTTGATGATAGCAAATTTTGCAAAAAATGACATAAAAAGTAGGCATGAAATTGGCATAAAAATTAGGCATGAAAATGACATAAAAATGACATTAAAATTAGGCCTTGATGACATAAACTGATCATAGTAGTTTGCAAATACATCAAAAGAGGCCCAACATTGTTTAATAGCACTTGTTCAAAGTGCACAACCACATCAAAATACACAGCATGTTTGTTTAACAGAAACAAATGAAAATAGTACTAGTTCCATGGACTAAAACATAAGTACACAAAAGTTTCATGATTCAGGTATAAACCACAGAAAAGACTTCAGCTCCATCAAGGATTCAGGCTGCACAAAGACTGATGCATCATAGGTCAGATATAGATCTCTGCCTTGCCCTTGTTGCTGGAACCTGAGACATAAAAAATTGGTAAGAAATTGGAAAAAAAAAAAAATACACAAAACATTCACGAAGCTGCATCAGCTTACCATTGGGTTTCCATCATCACCAAACAGGACACCAATTCCAATTGTTGACTTTGCTCTCCCTTTACCCCTAGCCCTTCCTCTCCCTTGTCCTGGAACTGGTGCCTCACCAGATTTAGAGCCTCTCTCTGCAACTCCCCTTCCTCTGCCCCTCCCTCTTCCCTGAGTTGCAGATTGGGATCTAGTAATGGTCTGAGACACACCTCTAGACCCCTCACCAGAGAGAATGAGCCTTCCACCCTTCCTAACTGACTGGGTTGTGCAGAAGTGTTGTGATGGGCAGAGGTTCCTATTGCAGTTGGGCCTGTTGCTGGAGTTGAAGATGAAGCTAACTGGGATTGTTGTGTTAGTACAGGTGTTGCTGCAGGTCCTTTTGGTCTTCCCTTGGCCTTTTTTGCAGGTGGTGCAATTGCTTCATAATCCTTCTCTTGACAGCCCCTCTTGTTGTGCCCCTTCTTGTTGCATTTGGAGCATGTCATCTCAATGGCTCAATATGTGCATGAAGTGTGTCATAATCATACTGCATAGCATACACAACAATATCCCTATTTTGAACCCCTAACTCACTCATCACTCTACATTCTTCATCCCCATGGATTACTCTCAAACCTTTGTCCACACTCAACCCAGGAATTTGGTAAAACAGTTGATTCACCCAATCCATCCCACTTTGCTTCCTAAACTCAAGCAACTCCCAATAACAGAGTTCATCTGGGTCTATAACAAAATTAGTACACTCCCCACCCTTATACTTCAATTCACCATTCTTACCCAATTCAAATTCACCCCCATGCCAGAATCTGACAGTCAAACTGTCAAAATTCTTACTCTTTGCAACCTATAATTAGACACCACAATTAGGCTACAAACAACAGTGCATGCATCACATCAATACTACACCAAAACCGTAATCCTACCTACATCAATAATCTAACTAATCAACAAACATTCATCACAACAAGCATTTCAAAAAAAATATATATACCACTGATTCCTCAAATTGCCCAGCACAATAATAACCAAGTAAACAAACTAAATTGCATAATTAATCACTTCAAATTGAAATTTAAATGCATCCAATTCATAATCCAAAACACCACAATCAATTTCAAAGTATTTAAACAAAAAAAATCGTACCTTTTTCTTAGGCATTTACACAAAATATCGAAACTTTACTTCCTTCAATCTGCAACAATCGTACTCAATCAACCACCAAAGTTTCCGCAATTAATTTTTGATCTTCAATTGAATTATGATGCCTTCGTTTTTCAGACAGAAGAATTGGAGAGAGAGTGAAATTGAGAGGGAAATGATTTAAAGAGGGAAACAGAAAGTAGTTGAGGAATTTAATTCCACGTAGGCTAAGGGGAGGGGGAATTTAAGTCAATCCTTGACTTTACCCCAAAATCAGGTCACCTATAATTTTGTACCATTTTGGGAAGAAGTATAGGAAAGGTGGTGTTATTGTGGAATAATCAAAAGGTGGTGTTATTTAGGAAAGACCGGCCAAAGGTCGTGTTATTTTTGACAAATTTTCCTAAACCAAATCGAACACTTCTTCATGTCCAAACCCTACAACTCTTCCTTTGCTCTTATTATTACTTTACATGTTAACTAATTTAATAAGTTTAGTTAAAGTAATAAATAGATCCATAATTTGAGATAAAAAAAAAAAAAAAAAAAAAAAAAAAAAAAACCGGATCAGCTAGAGCCGCTTTGGACCGTTGTGACGAAGTATCAACAACGACCTCAAAGGGGTCAATAAGAAACAAACCAACCCATAAATTGCTCTTTAAGAGGTACACTAATACAAAAATAAGTAGGTTCTAGAGGCTTTACGTGAAGGCCAATAGTAAAAGAACGTGAAAGCAAGCAATTCGCCTTCCAATTCTGATGGGACAAAGCTTATTTGGACATTTGGTATATTTTTCTCAATCTTGATACTTTCTTCGTCATTTTATAATCAATTGAATCTTTCAAAGTGAAATTACAGTTGAACTACACTTATCATTCATTAATTCTGAGTATCTTTATTAGTCATTAGATGTGTGACATGTGGATATTTTTTTTAGCCATGATTTCTGCTCCTACATTTTGTAATTTTCTACAATACTTTTCTTTGGTACAAAATAGTACATACAAATATATTGATTAATGATATTGTAGTATAAGGTTTGTCACGGAATTCTAATGACCAAAGATTTTGACAATCTGATATTTTCTTATTCGTTAAGTATAGGTTATTCAATGGGACATACTGTCGACTTCATTGAAATGGGATGTTTTTTCATACTATGCTTATTGTTAGGGAAGTTTATTTTTGTTACAATTTTTTTTAACTTAATATTATGCATGTAGACATGTACTACGTAGTTACTTAATTTAGGGGCTGTTCACATTTACTGAACTGAGCTGAACTGAACTGAACTGAACTGATTGGAGCTGAACCATACTGAACTAAACCGATTGGAGCGAGCTGAACTGAACTGAACTTAGCTAAAATGATTTTATGAGAGAAGGAAATTAGGAGCTGAACTGAACTGAACTTATTGGAGTTGAACTAAACTGAATTGAACTGATTGGACTGAATTGAACTGAATTGAAATTAAGTAAATGTGAACAGACCCTTAATGACCCTTAATTTACCGATTTACAACTTGCGCCGATTTCATTAACTCAAACTTACCACAAACATTTATGACAACATATAATGATCATATATGGTTCCAAACGGCATTATATGACCCCGAGATGTATCTCCTAAAATCTCAAAACTTTCCGACACCGGTGCCTCGAAACATCCCAAATTTCTCAAAAAGCGTGGATTTCAATTTTGGAATTTTTTAACTTTTTTTTTCGCACGGAAATAAAAATTGCCGAAATGTTTCCATAGTCCTTAATACCCTCTAGTAGTCCAATTGGGTGGGTGGATCCATCCAATTTACCGGTTTACAACTTGCACCAATTTCATTAACTCAAGCCTACTACGAACATTTATAACAACAAATAATGATTATATATGGTTCCAAACGACATTATATGACCCTGAGATATTATATCCCCTAGAATTTCAAAACTTTTTGACACTAGGCCACAAGACCTCCAAAATTTCTCAAAAGTGTGGAGATTAGCCTTCAATTTTGGAATTTTTTGACTTTTTTTGCTCGGAAATAAAAATTGTCAAAATGTTTACCATGATCCCTAATACCCTCTGGGAGTCTAATTGGTTGGGTGGAACCATCCAATTTTTCCTTTAAACGGCCAATTTACCATTTACAACTTGCACCAATTTTATTAATTCAAGCCTACCACGAACATTTATGACAACATATAATGATCATATATGGTTCCAAACGGCATTATATGACTCCGAGATGTATCTCCTACAATCTCAAGCCTTTTCGACACCAAGTCCCGAAATCTAAAAAATTTCTCAAAATGCATGGATATTAGCCTTCAACTTTGGAATTTTTTTACTTTTTTTTGCCAGGAAATAAAAATTGTCGAAATGTTTACCATGGTCCTTAATACCCTCTTGGAGTCCAATTGGGTGGGTGGAACCATCCAATTTGCCTTTAAACGGTTACCAATTTACAACTTGCACCGATTTCATTAAATCAAGCCAACCACGAACATTTATGACAACATATAATGATCATAAATGGTTCCAAACGGAATTATATGACCCCAAGATCTATTCCCTGAAATTTCAAGACTTTTCGACACTGGGCCCTGAAATCTCCAAAATTTCTCAAAAGCCTTCAATTTTGGAATTTTTTGACCTTTTTTTTCCCGAAAACATAATTGTCGAAATGTTTACCATGATCCCTAATACCCTCTGGGAGTCCAATTGGTTGGGTGGAACCATCCAATTTGCCTTTAAACGACCAATTTACCGATTTACAACTTGCACCGATTTCATTAATTCAAGCCTACCATGAACATTTATGACAACATATAATGATCATATATGGTTCCAAACGACATTATATGACCCCCAGATTTATTCCCTAAATTCTCAACACTTTGCGACATCGGGTCCCGAAACCTCTAAAATTTCTCAAAAAACGTGGACAACCTTCAATTTTGGAAAATTTTGACTTTCTTTCGCCAGAAAATAAAAATTGCTGAAATGTTTACTATGGTCTCTAATACCCTCCGCTAGTCCAATTGGGTGGGTGGAACCATCCAATTTTCCTTTAAACGGCCAATTTACCGGTTTACAACTTGCATTGATTTCATTAACTCAAGCCTACCACGAACATTTATGACAACAAATAGTGATCATATATGGTTCCAAATAACATTATATGACCCCGAGATGTATTGTCTAGATTTTCGACAACGGGCCTTGAAACCTCCAAATTTTATCAAAAAGCGTGGACATTAGCCTTTAATTTTGGAATTTTTAGACTATTTTTCGCCCAGAAATAATAATTGCCAAAATGTTTACCATGGTCCCTAATACCTTTTGGGAGTCCAATTGGGTGGGTGGAATCATCTAATTTGCCTTTAAACAGCCTATTTACCGGTTTAAAACTTGTACCGATTTCATTAACTCAAGCCTACCACGAACATTTATGACAACAAATAATGATCATATATGGTTCCAAACAACATTAAATGACCCTGAGATGTATCCCCTAGAATTTCAAGACTTTTCGACACAGGCTTCGAATCCTCCAAAATTTCTCAAAAAGTGTGATATTAGCCTTCAATTTTGAAAATTTTTTACTTCTCTTTTCCCCCAAAAATAAAAATTTCCGAAATTTTTACCATGGTCCCTAATACCGTCCGAGAGTCCCATTGGGTGGGTGGAACCATCCAATTTGCCTTTAAACGACCAATTTAATTACCGGTTTACAAATTGCACCGATTTCATTAGCTCAAGCCCACCACGAACATTTATAAAAACAAATAATGATCATATATGGTTCCAAACAGCATTATATGACCACGAGATGTATCCCCTAAAATTTCAAGACTTTTCGACACCGGGCCCCGAAACCTCCAAAATTTTTCAAAAAACATGCATATTAGTCTTTAATTTTGTAATTCTTTGACTTTTTTTACGCCCGGAAAATAAAATTGCTGAAATGTTTACCATGGTCCCTAATATCCTCCGGGAGTCCAATTAGGTTGGTGGAATCATCCAATTTGCCTTTAAACGGCCAATTTAATTACCGGTTTACAACTTGCACGTATTTCATTAACTCAAGCCTACTACGGACACTTATGACAACATATAATGATCATATATGGTCCCAAACGACATTATATGACCCCGAGATGTATCCCATAGAATTTCAAGACTTTTCGACACCGGGCCCCGAAACCTCTAAAATTTCTCAAAAAGCGTGGATATTAGCCTTCAATTTTGGAATTTTTCGACTTTTCTTTCGCCCGAAAATAAAAATTGCCGAAATGTTTACCATGGTCCCTAATATCCTCCGGGAGTCCATTTGGGTGTGTGGAACCATTCAATTTGCTTTTTAACGGCCAATTTACCGGCTTACAACTTGCACGGATTTACCGGTTTACAACGACCAATTTAATTAACTTGCACCGAACCCGACTTTGACCGAAACTGACCCAAACCCGTTTTAACCCGGCAAAACCCGAATTTAACTCGACTTGTTACTAACCTGGCCTGAATTCAACCCGACCCGTTCCTAACCCGACTCGAAAATAACCCGACTTGTTATTGACCTGACCCAAATTCAACCTGACTTGTTATTGACCCGACCCGAATTTTACCTTACCTATTACTTACCCAAACCAAAAATTCAACCCGATCTGTTACTAACTCGACTCGAAATTAACACGACTTGTTATTGACCCGACCTAAATTCAACCCAAATTGTTCCTGACCCGATTTCAAGTCACCTTTAGACCACCTTATTATTGTTGATCAAAATATTTTTTTTAGGGAGACCAAGTCGTTCCAGACCAGCAAAAGAAAGGAGCATCATCTTCAAATTTAAGAGTTAATAATAGTATATATTTGTTGTATGGCCAAAGGAGATAATTATCTTCCTAAATTATAGACTATTGTTCCCAAGTATATTGCCATACATATTAAGCTTGATAAAAATGATAATTATCTATTTATAGTTAGTTGAACCCGAATATGACCTGACTTGGAAATGATCTGACCTGATTGTAACCTGCAAATTACTGACTTGAACATAAACCCGACTTGAATCCGAGAATGACCCGACTTGGAAATGACCCAACCTGATTATAACCCGAAAATTATTGACTTGAACCGAACCCGACTTGAACCCAAGAATGACCCGACCTGATTATAATCTACAAATTATTGATTTGAACCAAACCCGACTCAAACTCGAGAATGACCCGAACTGATTCTAACTCGCAAATTATTGACTTGAACCGAACCCGACTCGAACCCGAGAATTACCCTAACCCGTTTTAACCCGTGAAAAGCTGAAAACCCAAATTAAACCCGACCTAGTGTTCACCCGACCCGAATGTAACCCGACCTGTTATTAACTCGACCCAAACCCGATAAGAAGTATGACCCGACGTGACCCGACTCAAGCATGACCCAACCCAAATCCGACCCACATAAGTTGTGGAATTAATCTGAGTTGACCCAACCCGAGTTAACTCGACCCACTATTACCCGACCCAAACCCGACCCGTTTACCTGAATTGATAGCTCTACTTGGGACTTTGCCCTTCTTTTTCAAACACCCCCCTTTCCCCAAAAAAGAAAGAAAAATGATAAGTACTAACCTACCATGTGTTATTGTTAGAGCTGTCAATTCGGGTAAACGGGTCGGGTTTTTGTGAGTCGGTCATCTCGGGTCGGGTCAATACGGGTTAATGTCATAACATATGCGGGTCGAGTTCGGGTTGGGTCATCCTTGAGTCGGGTCATGTCGGGTCATACATCTTATCGGTTTTGGGTCGGGTTTAGGTCGGGTTAGTAGAAGGTTGGGTTACATTCGAGTCGGGTGAAAAATAGGTCGGGTTA